TCTTGCAACCAAATGAAGGATTTGAGTTGAAAACCTAAAAGGGCGGCTCAAATACATGTTGATATTAGGTATATGGCAATTAAACCCTCTTAAGAGTTTGATATTTTGGGAGAAACTTTACATCTACAAGCATTCTGGCAACGTTTGAGATCTTCCAGACATAAGCTTACCTCAGTGCTCTAAATTATATCAATTTGATAGTTTAGAAATACTTATGCTAATAATTTGTTGAGTCGTTTGAATTTTTATAATTCCTATGTTTTCCACGACTTTGAATACATTTCTATATATTTATTATTTATTCCAAGTATTCTTTTTAAAATTCAATTTATTCATTCATATAAACACCTTGTAAATGGATTAACATAATCTTGAAATAAACAAAAGATTTCTGGATATCACTTTATGTTAATACTTTTAAGTGCATGGAATCTAAAGTAAGTCTTATCAACATTTGCAATCATTGTTGAAAAGCAAACAAGTTATTACCATCATAGAGTCATTTGGAAGCAAGTAAAACAGAAAAGCAGAAAAGAAATTCTGGGCAGAAGCCACATGAAAGAATGAATGTGTTGTCAAATGTTTTAAGAACCAATAATTATGGTGCTGAACTAGCAATTATGGTGCTAAACCAATGTTGCGATCATATGGTGTTTTCATTTATTAATCTAAAATGAAGTTTGTCTTTTTCAAGACTAAGCTTTGAAGTGAAATATGATGAAGATTTCTTTCCACAGAAGGGGAGCTGAAATTTTAACCCAAAAAAAACTAGTGGAGCTAACTAAGATTGAATAGCATATTGTTGTTAAGCATCTCGACATGATATGGTCTGAATGGCTTTGTTCGAGATCCAATTAGATGTGGAGACATGAATGGAATTAGGATGAATCCTCCTTATGATGTGTTTCAAGAGTCAAATCAGAATAGATACTGCTCTCTTATTTACTAAGTTTGGCATATTTATATCACTTCAAAGATGATAGATTCTCTCTTCAAAGATGATAGATTCTCTTTTCAAAGAAGAAAGATTTATTGGATTTCTACACAAGTGAAGAAAGATCGAGTTCACCACTTTGAAATCAAATAAAGATGAACTTAACATTCATGCATCATATTTAGACATTTGCAAAATAGAAGCATTTTCATTCATTTTATCCATGTTGAATATTCGACAGGAATTTCAAAGATTTTAGCAAAGATTCGAATCCATCATTCAATAGATCAACATTTCCAGGTAGAGTTCACAATGAGAAGAACTCATCTGAAGAAGGAAGAAGAAGTTCATAATGAGAAGAACTTGTTCAACCTTTTGCTCAAATTTATCAATCGATGGATCAACATTGCCAGGTAGAGTTCATAATGAGAAGAACTCATCTGAAGAGGAAAAACAAGTTCATAATGAGAAGAACTTGTTCAACCTTTTACATGACTCTATCACAGAATGAGATAGATCAACATCAACTTTTCTAGAGAAAGTTCATAATAAGAAGAACTTATCTGAAAAGGAAGAAGAAGTTCATAATGAGAAGAACTTGTTCAACCTTTTGCATGACTCTATCACAGAAGGAGATAGATCAGCATCAACTTTTCCAGAAAAAGTTCATAACAAGAAGAACTTATCTGAAGAGGAAGAAGAAGTTCATAATCAGAAGAGCTTGTTCAACCTTTGTATGACTCTATCACAGAAGTAGATAGATCAACATTAACATTTCCAGAAGTGTTCATAATGAGAAGAACTCATCTTAAGAAGGAGAAGAAGTTCATAATGAGAAGAACTTGTTCAACCTTGCCTTAATTCGTTACATATGAAGCCAAATTAACAACCCATATTTTGAGGGTCAACATTTCCAGAAGGAGTTCATAATGAGAAGAACTCATCTGAAGAGGAAGAAGAAATTCATAATAAGAAGAACTTGTTCAACGTTGCTTTAATTCATCATATATGAAGTTGAATCAATGACACCTCTTTTGAGGGTCAGTATTTCTAGAAGGAGTTCATAATGAGAAGAAATCATCTGAAGAGGAAGAAGAAATTCATAATGAGAAGAACTTGTTTAACCTTTTGCTAGATTTCATCACAGAACAAAATGGATTATCATTCCCAGTGGAAGAGTTCATAATGAGAAGAACTAGTCCTAAAGAAGAAGAAGTTCATAATAAGAAGAATTTGTTCAACATTTACGTCTTAATTAAGAAAAGTCAATTGGACAAAAACTTATTGTTTTTTTTCGTCTTTGCTCTATTCTTGTTAACACAAGAATGAGCAAAGAGGGGAAGGTATAAACACTAAGTTTTTGTCCCATTTATTATTATTATAAAAAATAATAAAAATTACAATTAATTTTATAGGCCCAGAACTAGAACCCGGAGGCCCAGATCCAAAACCCGGAAGCCCAGATCCAGACCCGACCAAACACCAATCTAGGGTTTTTTACATCATCTCAGCCGTCAGCAATCCCAGCCAATGGATTTAAAGAGATCCAACAGTCCAAAGAAAATCCAGCAGAAACCCTAGGGTTGGTGAACCCTAGGGTCTATTCCGGCGCCGCCTTTAATCACTCCGAACTGCTCCGCCGTTATGTTCCCTAGTAAGCTGCTGCCACGACTTCAAAGGCTCTAGATGATGCTAGGCCAGCCGCACATGTTGTTACCCTATGGCGAGTCACCACCATAGCTTCGGTGACTCACCGAGGGCCACCTTTGTGACCGTTTTGAAAGCAACGTCGATGAAGCCTATAAAAAGGCCATCCCCTACAGAGAAAAAGAGGAGGAGGAGAGCAAGCAAGCACCAGAAAAAAACCATAGCAGCCAAACATTAAAGCAAAAGAAGAAAAGAGATCGAGAATACTTATCCACAGTGGTTGGAGTCTCTACGCCTCATCGGAGACTTGAATCGCCGAAGGTATAAATTTAGATCTAGGAAAGTTTATGATTTTTTAAAAGAAACAGAAGCTAGATTTGGCTTTAGGGTTGTGTGATCTACGATTTAAGGTAGTTTTCACGTTTTTCGACCACCGTGTGTGGTGACCGGCGGTGGTGATTGACGCCGGAGAACGGCGGCGACGGTGGTCGGAATTCCCTCCAGTGAGGGAGTTCTAGAGAGAGTTAAGAGCTTCTCTCTCTAAAAAGAGAGAAGCAAAGTGAAAAATGGCCTAAAGGTCGATTTCTGGGGTATTTATAAGGGATGTTTCTGTAATTTCCCACATGGCAAAATCACATCCGTGATCCCTTCAAATTTATATCCTTTTGCAATTTGGTCACTAAATTGATTTTCGAAGTCTTTTAATTTTATCTTCTTATTTTATTTTATTATGTTATAGTCCCTGCCATATTTATTAAATATTTAGGGTAAATATATTATTTAGTCCCTTATATTTTAGTAATTTTTATTTTAATCCCGTATTAATATTTATAGTTAAATTACATTGTTATTACTTATATTATATAATATTTTAAGTTATTTCTATTAAATTTGATATTTTACAATTTAATCCTTAAAAGCATGTTTCTGTTTATTTTAATTTAGCATTTATATTTTATTTTATTTCTATTATTACCTTTTATGTTTAAATATTTTTAAATTTAGTACTTTAGTTATTATTTTTTTATTTTAGTCACATATGTATTCTAATAATATATATTAATAATAAATTACAAATAATAAATAATTAAAATAATAATAATAAAAGACAACATGCTTAAAGTCTTATTTAGTGGATATAGTGGGTAAGAATAATATAATATAATTTTGAATTTGAATTTGCTTAGCATAATCGGTCATTACCTAACCTAAAAAAATTAATTAATAAATAAAAGGTGTCTTGGTAAATTATTACTTTTGACTAACTAAATGTCCCCATTACGTACATCTACATTATTACTAGGAACCAAAACCTTTGATTTATTTGTCATAGTTTTAATAAAACTAATAATTAATTTGTATGTGGTTAGTAAATTATTACTTTTAAGAAATTATATTTTTAAATTCAATTCCAAAATTATAACTTTTGTAATTCCTAAACTTTGATTTTTGTAGTTTCTACATAAATTGTGTGATAATGTACTCATTAAATTATTAATTTTTTTAATGTTTTATGTTAATTAATTTGATTGATTTTATAAATTAATTAAATAATAATATTTATTTATTTTTAAATATTAAGAAAGGGTTGTCTTAAAGTAACTAGAGATTATATTCTAGTATTTTAAAATAAATAAATATCTTGTTTATAAAGACCTAAAAAATATATTTATTTTAGTTTTGGTTATATTAAATTATTTTAATATTAAATTATTAGAATTTTCTATTAAATATAATTATGCAATTGAATCTGGAATAATAGGATCATAAATTAAATTCATATTTGAATTCTTAAATTTTCATTAATAGAGATAATTTTATAATCGACGGGTACTAATTTTGGGCGTTGTGAGGTGTTAATCATTCTCCAAACATAATCGACAATGAACCCCTTTTTATTATTAAAAATAATGATTTTTTGGTTAAACGCATACCAGTTTATCTTTTAACTGATGTTTTCTTAAAAACTTTTTTAAAATATGATTTTTAGGTATTCGACCTATCTGACCCAAAAGGTCGATGGCGACTCCCAAAACATTTCAATAAAAAACTATTTATCCATATTATTTTTCTTGCCAAATAAAATTTCGTACCCGGACAAAAACCGGTTATGACAATGTGCATCTAAGAATTAATAATTGCAAAGCTTACGCACAATAAAATGAAATTGATACCGTAGAATAATACCATGACTGCATTACTTTTCCTCAAACTTACCCCTCCAAAGCTCCCCAAAACGATGATAACATTCTGCCGGCCCCATCCTATAGAAACATCAACTTTCTACGTAAGTAAAGCAACACCGATCGCTACAATTGGAAAACATGAGAATATTACAGACAAACACCCACTGTCTTAGCATATCATAATCGTATAAATAAGGAAATTATTAAATATCTTAAAACTATAATTGGTAGGGGGTATTCAACGAGGAATACCCTTCCAAAAATAGGCATATGCCGCTTGATGTAGAGAGCTCATGATATTCTTTAATAAAAGGCAAAAGAATAGTTAGTTCTATGCTTAACACACGGCTCCGTGAGATTGGAAGGGTGCTATTTGTTAGTTTATAAACATGAGGAAAAGCTGTTAACCTGCTCAGTGCGATGTGGGATAGTGGAACTTGACTTGCGGTAATTTCATTTGAATCGTTCCTTCCTTTTAATTTTGTACCAGGAAAAAGAAAACACCAAGCTTTTTTATTTTTTGCTACCATCTCCAAGATTTAATAAGCATAAATTCTGCTCTCATGATACTAGATATATCAACTATTAATTTTTTTACTACATTTATATATTTTATAATCGTTCTCCAATTTAGAGATTATTCGGTGGTTTCTTTTGAAATTGAAAAAAAAAAAATACTACTCAGGAAGCTAGAGTGAGAATTAGCAGATTTAAAACTGCTCTGGTAATCAAATTTAAAACTGGAGGTGTCCCTAAATAGAATGACAAATGGTAATCGAATTCCATCTGGTTCAGGCAATAATAAGGAAAACTAAAGTTGATGCAATAGCTTGATCGAAACAAAATAACTTCGTAATAGGTTTATCAGATTTAACATACAATGCCAAAACAAGTGAGAGGAAGAGTTGATTAAATAACAGAAACATTAACTTGTAAACAAATAATGACGTAGGCTCTCCCACTCGGGGAGACGTTAGGCAGGTGCACCTTCTGAGTGCAATGAAAGCCACCAACCTAGGCCATGGATCTTACTGATCACCCATCAACCCCGTCCAGGTAAGTATGTTGCAAAGTTTGCCCATACTTTTTCTTTATAAGCATTGCTCAACTCCCCTCTTTGATGTCTTCCTGGTGTGGGCTTGGAGTTGTTGCCAGAGTATCCGAGTTTTTTTTATTTTATTTTTGACAAATATGAGCAAATCAGCTAACCTGGAATGACAAGTTGAGACTCAGTTTCTCCAGCAAACTAGTGATGCTAAGATATAGTTCAAATATGGATATTTTAACTTAACTTAAAATCCTCTGGCTGTGATGCACAGTTTCTATATGGTGCTCAAATTTCAAGTGGGACAAATATGGTTTTGGTTTTGATGAGTTATTGAAGCACCAAAAGATTTTGGCCTCAGGATTTCGATCACCACCCTTCCAATCAGACCAAATTATTGATTTTGTAAACCATTTTGGTTGCAGCAGAAACACAACTTCCATAAACCAAGTGTTGTGGACATTAATATGATGCATGGCTCCTTATTTTGCATGTGCATCTAAGAATTAATAATTGCAAAGCTTACCCCAACAACATGAAATCAATACCGTTTCCATGCTATAGAACAATATCTTGTCTGCATTCGTTTCCCCCAATCTTACCCCAAAAATCATCCAAAGCTCTCCAAATCGAATACCAGAAGGCGAAGAAACCATGAAAACTTGCAGAATGGTCTCAACCATATTTACCCAATGACTAAAGAGCAATTGATTACACCACCAAAGCTGCTGAAAACAACGCTGGATTACTCAATTTAACAGATGTGCGACATAACACTTTCACCCCTCAAAACTAAACTCTCCCTGCAAGTCCATGATCGGGTCATTGACAATTTCAGTCCACTTGCTCTCTAAAATTCAGATCCTCTTTGCTTCTTTTTTCTCTTTAGTACATAAACAACAAATTACATGGTGAAAATTTTTTAGATAATCGTTTGAAGCTTGTTACATCTATTTTATAATTTGATTTTAACTACAACTGCCTGTCCGTCCCTGACAATTTAATCAAATTGAATTTGAAAGGACCAGTGAAAGCATTCTCCATTTGCCCATCCTAAGAATATGATAGATAACGCTCGCCGTCATACCAAAGTGAAAGAGTACCAATCAGTACACTGGGAAAAAATGGCGAGATTCTAAAACTCCCACCGTTACTACTGTATAGGGTATAAAAGGAAATACATAATCATTCATACTTGGATTGGTATGGGGGTATTCAACAAGGAATATCCTTCCAAAAATAAGTGTACGACGCTTAAAGTGGAGAGCACACAGTATTTTTTAGTAAACGGCGAAAGAATAATTCGCTTTGTGCTCACCACACGACTCCATAAGTCTAACCCCGGCTATCAGTTGCTTTATAAACACGAGGAAAAGCTGTTAACCTGCTTTCTCAGTGCGATGTGGGATAGTCGGACTTGTCTTGTGGTAATTTCATTTGAGTGGTTCCCTCCTCATTTTGTACCAGGAAAAAGAAAACACCAAGCTTTTAATTTTTTTGCTTTTGATTTTTTGCTACCATCTCAAAAATTAAATAACCATAAATTCTGCTCTCATAGTACTAGATATCGCAACTCTTAAACTTTTGACTACATTTATATATTTTATCAATCGATCTCCAACTGAAAGTTGAGAGTCTAAAGATTGTTCTTCTGATAATTATTTCACCCATCCAATTGAAGAGACTATATTTTATCCTGGTTCAAATAAGAATCTGAAAAGATGATTTTAATTTAACTTCAAAACCTCTGGCTCTGATGCACAGTTCCTATATGGTGCTCAAACTTCAAGTGGGACAAATATGGTTTTGGTTGTGATGAGTTGCTGAAGCACCATAAAATTTTCGCCTCAGGATTTCAATCACCACCCTTCCAATCAAATCAAATTATCGATTTTGTAATCCATTTTTGTAGTGCTGTTGCAGCATAAACAAACTTCCATAAACCAAGTGTTGTGGCCTGTGAATATCAATTACCGTCAACTTATTTTTCCATTGACGTTGAAATTTACCCTGACAAGTAAAATGCAAGCAAGACCTGTGAAACAGAAACTTGCTGAACCGAGTTCAGCTTCTTAATTGAGAATATCTGTCTTTGCTTTCAAATGTTCAGATCTCTCATACAAGCAGAACGCCATTGTGAAAGCAACATTTTATTGCTTGGAAGTGCCTGTGTCTGTTTTTAAAGTTGCTTGGGTTTGGAAAATTCAACTCAAACATGAGAAAAGGACTTGGCATAGGTTAGTTTGGTGAAAACACTTTTATTGCTTGGCTTGCTTTACTCGATAACATGGGCCTGCCTAGTAACCACAGAATGCCCCCATGCAGCACTGAAGAAGAAACCAGGGATCTATTCATAGGTTTGAGATATGGTTCTGCACGCCACGCATGTGAAATTTATCCTCGGACTGAAAGATGGCAGGATGCAGTAGCATGGCAGTTCTAAAGGAAAAACTCTGGAAGCAATTACTCTAAAGCTTGCTTGCTTGGAATGTGCCCTTAGCCATGGGGTCTGGCAGGAGAGGAATGGAAGAATTGTTAAACAACCTTTGGAGCTTTTCAGGGTGATCAATGGCCATTTACTATCACTTGCACAATAGAGTCGAATGCTAGGGAAATGGTAATTGGTTGTTAATAGGTTATGATAATTTGGTTTATCATTCCGATGACTTTCAATTAATTGTTATGGAAATGGAAATTGGTTGTTGATGTTGTTTCAAAATTCAATGTTGGTTCATTAGGACCATGTAAACCAAATACCTGAAACTGCTTTTAACATAAAATATTTAAACCCCTGCAGTGTACAAATTATATTTTGTAACCAAGTTTAGAAGTTTCTTCCTCCAACAAGGATTAAAGTAGATAAACAGGAATCAATTCTAACTCCCACTGATGAAAAGAAAGTATAATAAGTCGTGTTACTCTCCAGATTCTGTTTCATTCCATTTTTCTAAAATTATACATGAAAAAGTAGAGAATGACCGATTGAAACAACTATCCATTACACTATTCATCATATTGTCCAAGGAGTTCCCTCGATCAATTGAGATCTAGTCCACTCTTGGCAAATCAATCAAAGAACCCAACGCATGGTCAAATGCCCTAAAGCTAGTTAATAAGATCTGTAATGTCAAAAGTTACTTAAGTATATTTAGCATCAATGTCTTAGACATAAATTCACACTACATGTGTATCATCAGCACAGATCTTAGTAGTGTAAGTTCATGTTAATATTTGATTTAACAGTTGGTGGCATCTTATGTTAATAAGGATCACAGGCGGAATGTCAATTTCCAGTATGATACCAAATGTCAGTAGTAAAAATAAATGCTACGATAAAATGGAATGAAACTGGTTCTGTGTGAGTGAAAGCATGAAAGCTATCCAGAAAGCCTACGAACTTAAACAAGTTATAATACCTAAGCAACCATCAATGGTATGAGAATTTTCTTTCAATAATATCTTATCAGTTGGAATATATAGGAATTCCATAGATCATGCTACCCTAAACATCAAGTACAATCATAAGTTACATATTGTTAGATTAAAAATACTAAGGTTTCTCTTTTGAACTTGGAGAAACTTGTTAAAAGTGCCCACAAAGTGTTGTAAACATGCAAAAGACTCGAAGTTATGGGCAATATCTGTCATCCAATGTTAAGTAGCACTTTTCACAGCTAATTATTCCGGCAATATTTCCAAACTAAACTAGTGGTGAATGACTAATCCTCAAAGTAGCATCAGAAAGAAACCAATATTTTTTTCTTATAATCTTAAACATCAAACATGCAAAGTATGATAGCACCAGCAATAACAACAAACGAAAGCTATGACAAGATTAATGATAATATCAATGTAACCAAATCCATAATTCCAGATATAACATCAGTGAAAACAATATCAGAATTTGCAAATATAATGGATTTTCTAGATCTTTTCCAAACACAAAAACCAAGTTACATATGGGAAAGTCATTCATTAAAATAGAGAGTACATCCATAGAGGCCTCCTGAAAATAGTTGCGAAATGAACATTACATCAATAAAAGCCTAGTCATTTCAGTATTACATCCATAGAATCATCGTCATTTCAGTTATGGTCGAGAAATCTAATAACGATTACTGTCAGACCAATCATAATCAAAACACAAAGTAGCACATACAGAACCCAGGTGAAATTCGCCCCAGTATGCTCCAGTTGCTAGTTCGTTCTTCTGCATTTTATTTTGGTTGCCCCCTTTTGGTGGGAGGTATACACTTATTTGCCAGAGAGAGAGAGTGTGATTAGAGTATTGAAAACAAATGAAAAGAACTATAAAAGTGGCATTGCAACAACCCTTAGACTTGAAGATTGCTAAAAATATGCAAAGAAAATGAGAGAAACTTATCCAGAAGTTGGACTTGGAATGAGAGAGGGAGTGATCAGAGTATTGGAAACAATAGAGTTTGAGTAAGTATTCTAAAACGATACATTCGAGAATGTAAAACAAATGCAATATTTATGGCAATCATAGCTAGGTTAACAACTTATCTCTTAGAAGTTTACTAACTGATTTATAACTGAAGAAAGTATTCTTCAGTTAGTTAGGTTTACTAACTGAAGAAAGTCATTCTTGAAACTCAATCTAAAAGCAATCTAACCAACACAGAAAGGTTATAAAACTTGATATCGTCTAAGTTCTGGATTAAAAGTGTTGGGAATCACGATTTTTCCCACTTTGTGAAGTTAAGATAGTCACTTAGAGATTAAGGATAGTAAAAAGAGCACAAATGTATAATTCTCCAATTTGGAGATTCTTCCACTATACAAAACAATAGTAGGATTACAAGGATGTGTTCACAAAATTTGACTCACACTTGGTGGCTCACTCAAGCTTAAAGATAAAGATTTCCCAATCTATCTCTCTTCTCTTTCAAAGAGGCTCTCTAACTCTCTAGTTTCTCACTCTAAGAAGTGGAATCTCTTAGTATTTTTGGATTTTTTGATAGTTAGGAATAAAGTCTCTCACCCCTATTTATACTACTCCACCTCCATAATGAATGATGGAGATTACTTACATCCAAGGGTAGAGATTAATTATCTAGAATGCTCCACACACTCTAAGAAGCTCTACACTCTTCCACTACCTTCCATATTCTTTCATACACTTCTATAAGGTTCCACACATCTCTAGAATATTCCAGAGGATTCCACACTCTTCCACAAGCTTCTAGAGAGTTTGTTGAGTTAATCGAATGACGAAATTGGCCAAGAGGGGGGTGAATTGGCAATAAAAATTTTGTGGAAGCTTTTGCAGAAAATTGAAAGCAATTGCACAGCGATTTACAGTGGTTCGACTTTCTCAAACAAAGTCTACGTCCACTACCTTAGCTATCCACACTAAGGATTTTCCAACAAATTCACTAATTTGTTCTTTCTTTTGAGGCCAAAGAGATAACCTTACAATTTCCTCAAGAGTATACCCCAACTCTTGAGAACACTCTTTTCTCAAAGAGAAGATTACAAATTTGCAAACTTACAAGAAAACCTCACAAGGTAAGATGTTTGCACAATTCTAGAACAAAGAAAAGAACACTCAAAGATGAATACAATTGAGCACAAAAAGTGTTCTTGAAAGCAAAATGAATATTGAATGAAAATGGGCTTGAAATGCTCAAACTTGAGGTTTGATGCTTTCTCTTTGATTCTCTCTTGATTCTAGTTGCTTGATGTTTCTTATTTTTGATCAATGGCTTCTAAGCTTGCTTAAATACACCTTGGATCACTTCTGAACGTTGGGGATAATTAGAGAAGATATTATAGCCGTTTTAGTGTGAAAACATTTAATAAAACAGCTTGGACAGTGGGGGGAATCGGTTCCCTCTCATAGGGAATCGGTTCCCTAAGTGTAAAATTCAAATATTTCGACCGTTGAACAGGGGGGAATCGGTACCCCTTGGGGGGGAATCGGTTCCCTCCGAGCATTCTGGAAATCTCGGAGCCAAACCATTCAGGGGGGAATCGGTTCCTCCTATGGGGGGAATCGGTTCCCTCTGAGTAATCTGGAATTTTTGGCTTTGAATTGGTTCGAAATACTTTATAAAATATTTTGAAATTGTTTTATGATTAAAACTTAATTTTACACTTAAGTAAGGATCAAAAATGATTTTTGAAATATTTGGAGTAATGTTTTGATATTCGAATAGTTATATCGAATATACTTAGAAAATCATTTGGAAAATCTTAAAATCCATTTAACTTAATTTGTTATATCGAAATATTAAAATGTTTCAACAATCTCCCCCTTTTTGATATAACAAAACATTTTAGTAATTTTAAGATTTTTGAAAT